GGAGAACAGAACTACCCCACCGTGCCCCAGGCGCTCGGAGAAATAAGAATGCACAGCCTAGCTCCATCGGCAAAGCGGCTCGAGCAAAAGGCTTGACCCGAACAACTTGAGCAATGAGTGCTACAGTCGAATCCTCCACGAGGGGGGCACTCGACCGCAAAGGAGTCCCACAGAGGGGGCGCGAGTACTTCAGCGTCCGATGTTGGCACCCGCGGCCAGGCGCGCGCCCCCCCGGAGCGGAGAGAGCTCAGCGCACCCTGGACTGCATCCTCGTGGGAAGGGGTCAGGGACCAGGGAGGGGGGGGCAAGAGTCAGGGGAGCTGGGATGGGGAGGGGGAGGGGCGGTGACGGGGAGGGTGGGGAGGCCCCCCCCGGAACCCATTGATTCTGCATCGGTCCTTGAGCCCTTCATACGTACTCTCACTGATCATCCGCCTTCGTTTCATCCGTGCCTGCATATCCATCTCTCCTATTCGTCAATTATCTGTTGTTTTTTCGTGCTGGAATCTAATTGGAATCAGCTGGACCTGGGATCTGCCACCAATGAGATTCTAATTCGGTTCCAATAAACAAATCAAATTGGAATCAGCTGGAGCTGGGATTCGCTCCACCCCAATTATTTTCAAATTAGAGCCCAATCGGAATATACTTGGAATCAGCTGGATCTGGGATCTGATCATTTTCAATGAGATTATATCTAGATTCCAATCGGAATCCAATTAGAATCAGCTGGATCTGGAATATGCTCAATACGAATTCGATTTGAACTCGATTACAAAAAGAATCCACTTGGAAACAACTGAAATCGGGGATCTGCTCCATTCTAACTGGATCCTAGTTCGATTCTAATAGGGATCATATTGGAATTGGAATCAGCTGGATCTGGTATCTGCTCAATTCCACGGATAGCTAAATAGATTTCAATAAGAACCTATTTGGAATCAGCCGGATATGTGAACTGATCCTTCCTTCTGGTTACAAGTCCGATTCCAATAGGAATCCCAATTGGACTCAGCTGGATCTGGGATGTGCCCAATTCCAATTACATGTTCATGAAACTCCACTAGGAATCACCGTCGTAAGTGAATGCTGGTAAGAATGGGTGCTGGGGGGGACTGTCCATATACATGTATATATACATGTATGTATATCTACATATATATATAAATAAATAAATATATACATATGTATACCGAATATAGATATGTCTATATCTATATATGTTTGTTTTCCTCCAGTGGCCGGGTGGCAGCGTCTGAGGCAGGGCGCGCTTAGCTCAAATACCACCTGGAGTTCCAGATGGGGGGCTTAGATGAAAGCTGACGCATGCAACAACCAAAAATGGAGACCGCGAGTGCACGAGGAACGTGCAAATGAGGCTAAGCAGGTACCGAAAAGGACGAGACAACAAGGCACAGATTGCAGGAGGAATAAAAAGTGCACGAGTCTCGCTCCCTCGCATCCCGCGTAAGGGCGCGCGCGCACACACACACACGCGCTTGCACTTTGCAGTGTCTGCTTTACTCGAACAAACCGTGACGGGATCAAGGAGACAGCCTGCACAGCCTCCTGGTCCTCTGGGCACTTTGTACACACATTGTCCACGCGCATGGAAACGACCACCGCACTAGCAAACTGGCAGCCCACAAGCCCGACTGTAAGGGCGCTGCACGATGAACGGCAGAGGGGACCTAGGGGAACAAAAAGTGGCATAAACATAAAAACTCGGAGGTCCGCGCGGATTTCTCGGATCGGCGCTGGACCCCCCTCCCTGGCGCGCGGGGCGCACCAGGGGCGGCGCCGGAGGCGCCGCCGGGGGGCCCCAGCGCCGATCCGAGAAATCCGCGCGGACCTCCGAGTTCTTATGCTTATGTCACTTCTTGCTCCCCTAGAGAAGCCCCGCCGCCCTCTGAGGAGGCCTGCCCCGTCTCGGCCGCCAGGTGGCTTTCGGGTCCTAGCCCGGCTTTTTCTGGCGGCCGTGCGGGGCGATCTGGGCACCCGCCTGAGGCGCACTCAGCTGGAGCGCCTCCCGACGCCAGAGGGGACCGCGCGACGGTGTGGGACCTACACCCCCCTCGCCAGCGGCACAAAAGGTGCACAGCTCCGCCAACGCCCTGCCTCTCACCGGCGTGCCAGCGGGCGCCTCCCCCCCGCACGACGCCGCACGGGGTGCGGCGTCCGCTGGCCATCGCTCGGGCGTCCATTCCCTGTGGTTTTGTTCGGTTTCGTGCGTGGCTTTTTCGCCAAATGATCAAGGATGCTCCTCGATGGTCCTCGCCGAAGGAAAAATGCGCACGTCCGAGCGATGCCAAGTCCGAGGCGCGAGCCCCCGGGTGGGCACAACCCAGGAGAGCTGCAGCAGCGGCAGGAGGCAGAAAGTGGGAGCGACACTTAAGTCGGGCCTGTCCCCCTACAGAGGGATTTTCGACGAAAAACAAAAAATAGCCCAAAAATAGCCAGCAAATCATACAAGAATAGTCTGGGGATGAATGTTTGAATC